CCTGGCTAGGCGTCTTCCCCTGAACTTCCCTCCTGGTGGGGAGGGGGGGATGGGTACAGGGAGGGGAGAGGAGGGGTGTTTGGGGAGCAGTTCTGAGACCCCCATCTGTGTCTTCAGGAGACCTGGTGAGCCTGCATCCTGGTCGCCAGGAAAGGTAAACCCCACAAGGCTTCCCCATTGGGTCCCTGTAGTCCTTCAAGGTAGGACCAGTACAGGTGGGCTCACCTCTGGGGACCCAGGGCAGTGGGGGCAGGAGGTGGTGGCCTGGCCCAGTTCCTTCCTGGCCCCACATGTCCCTCTCATCAGAGGCTCCTTCTGCTGCTGGGAGGTAGACACAGAAGTGGCCTTGGCTGGGGCCTGGAGCAGGCATGTGGGTGGGGTCCACTGCGGTTGGACCATGAGGCGATGGGGGCCAGATGCTGGCTCTGGGTTCTGTCTGACTCTCCCTTTCCCATCGAGGGAGAGAGGAGTTGAGAAACATCATAAAACCTGAGCAGGATGGCTGGGGGCAGGGACTATCCCTGATCCTGGACCCAGGCCAAGAATGTGCTTAGTGAACTTGCTCCCCCATCCTCGGGATGCTCAACAGGTGCGTAATTCGGCCTCCTCCTCACCTCCCAGGAGGTGAAGATGGTGCAACAGGTGATGTCCTCTCCTTCTCCCACCCACTGGACAATGGGGATGGTTGGAAGGGCAGGGAGGAGAGGGAAGCTACTCCTGGAAGAAACAGTGTAAGCAAAGGCTCAGGCATGGGAACTGAGAAGACACAGTAAGGGGAAGGTGACAAGACAGGCCTGCGTGAAAGGCAGGACACGTGCTGGGGACAAGGGACAGACGACTGTGTGCAAGGGAGAATGCCTGTCCTGTAGAGCTCAGATGGCGGGGGACTCACACCCTAACAGGCAGATCGGTGGTTCCCGTCACCTGTGACCCTGTGCCCCTCTGGGTCTTCTCTAACCACATGCAAGGACAGAACACAGAGCCCGAGGTTGGGAGGTGTCCCTCGTGCTCAGAGGACATGGAGCTGATCCTGGGCATCTGGTGGGGAGACGGGGGAGGATGGGAGTGGTTTTCATCCTCATCGTCCTTCTGGGGTCATCACTGACATCTGCAAGGGGTAACTGAGGCTGGTCCCCCTCCGGGTGGCCGTGGAGGCTTGGTGGGCTTAAAGGCACAGTGGCTGGGGACAAGAGGGACAGCTTTCTGGTGGCTGAGTATGTTGGGGGTGGGGGTCCAGCTGGCCACCTGTCTCTCCCTCCCCTGAGAGTCAGTTCCAGCCTGGGTGGTGGGCCTGTGGGTGAAGCTCAGGATAGGAAACCATGACTCTGCAGATGAAGAAGCACGGCTAGAACCTAGATCTGCTGGGTGCCAGGTGCCACTATCCAGGGAAGGGTGCTCAGCAGGGAGGCTGCCCCAGCTGGAAGGATGTTGGCGAGCGATGAGTCTCCTGGCGCACTTTGCAGCAGGCACCATGAATCCCAGTACAGTTTAGGATCCAGAACCTAGATTCATGGCTTTTCGGAGTTTCATAAACCCAGGACCTAGGATTCAAAGATTCTTAAGATTGAGAACTGTAGAGGCTCCGACCCCAGAAAGTGAGAGCTCCCAAGTTTTTCAGGGCATCTAGTCTAACAAATAAGTTGTTATGTTTTCAAACTATGGGTGAGGGGGTGGTGATGGAAGTACTTTAAACTATTTCCTGGGAGCCCAGTACATGGAGTGCTAAAGACTGACCCTTGGTTTGGAGCTCGGTGGGCTTCTGAGACCCCAGTGCCCCACCTCATTCCCTACCAGGCAGCCCCAGGACTGTGTGGCCCAAGCCCCTTAGTTAAGGAATGGAGACGCTGAGGCCCAGAGGGGCCAGAGACCTGCCCAAGGTCACCCGGGAGCCAGAGGCAGAGTCTCCTCCGCCTTCTCCCCTCCTGGGCTTCGTATGCGCGGCTGCCACCAGGCAACCAGCCAGTTGGCACTCGGACTCGGAGCTGCTGGGAGCAGATAAGCAGGATCCAGGGGAAGGACAGAACTAGCTGAGCCTGAGGCCAGGCCCAGGCAGCAGAGATGCTGGGAGCGTGGCACCTGGTAGGGAATGGGGCAGGGGTGGCATTAGGCTTGGTTTATCCCTGCCCTTCTCTCTGCACCACGTCTCAAAATACAACATCTAAAACCATAATTTTTTTTGAGTAATTACCCTGTGCCAGGAGCTCTCCACACATCACCCATTGAAACGGTAGTTACTGAGCACCTACTGTGTACAGGTACTATTCAGCACTCAGGGGACCACAGAGGCTTTTTCCTTCCAGGATCCTGACCCATGGACCTGGGCTGAGTCCCTTTTCGCAGATGAGGGAACTACCATTAAGTGACTGGCCCATGTTACTCAGCTGATTAGTGGCCGGATTGAATCCAGCCAGGCCCAGGACGTGAAGGGCCTCACAAGCCTGCAGTGGCAAGGCTCTGTCCTTCTCTCAGCGGGGCTCCTGGCGGACAGTGGGCAGCAGATTTGGCTGTAAGGGAGAGCTCAGATGTTGGGGGGTTGCAGCTGGTATCTGGTAGGATTTGGCATCTTAGAAATTTACCTTCAAGGAGACAAGATTGGCCAAGTCGGGGAGAGGGGAGAGGCAGGCTGCCTCCTAACCCTGCAAATGGCCCTGGGGCTCAAGTCTTCACACAGAATCCTCGCAACAGCCCTGAGCAGAGCTCCTGTGATCACCCCATTTCACTGATGAGGAAACTGAGGCTCAGGGAAGTTAAGGGCTTGTCAGAGGTCATGGGAGGTACAGAGCTGGGGTTACAGCCCAGGCCCCCCTCTAATTCCACGGCCTGCCAGTGCTGCCCTGTTTTCTGCCTCTGGGACCTCTGAGCCTGCAAGCCTTCCAGAACATTCCCCTGCACCCGTGCTTGTCCTCTCCTTACAGAGCAGGCTCGGGTGACCTCGGGCCAGCCCAGAGGACGGTGGTCTCTCACCTCCTCCCTGGACCCTCTTCTTCCATTGACATCACCCACCATCACCCTGGCTTTTCCCGCAACCACACTCCCGTAAACTCCCGTGGAGCCTCCAGCTCGGTTTTCCCAGGAGCTGCTGACAAAGCAGCCCGCCCTCCCCCCCCACTGTGCAGCTACCTTTGAACCTAAATGCAGAACCTTTCCGAGTGTCCATATCACACGGCACTGGCTTGATCTCGCCCTGAGGTCGGCTGGAGGCCACAATGCAAGGTGTCCCTCCTGGCCCTGTCTGCAGATCTGGCTGGTTGGTGTGTGAAGTTCTTCTGCCAAGTAGAGCAGGAGGCCTGGGCGGGGACAGAGCCCTGTGGTCACCACTGCAGACTGCCTCCTGGGCCAGGATCCCCTCGGGACGGGTCCTCCTGCGGCACCATGGTCCAGCCAGCCTGACGGGCTGTCCTCTGTCCGAGGCCCTCTGTCTGCCGTCCCTGTGGTCGCTGGTCTCTGACCTGTCCCCCCCACCCCATCTCCTTCCCCATCTCTCTCCTTGTCATTATTCCTTTATTCCCCTCCTCTCCCTTCTCTGTCCTCCTAATTCTCTTGTCCCACCCCCATCTCCCTCTTCACCTCCGTTCTTCCTCCACCCTCTCTCTTATGTTGATGGTCAAGGTCACAGCCACAGAAACCCCTCCTCATCTGTCCCCAAAGGGTCTTTGGTTCTGCCCTGGGCCACAGTGAGGGAAATATCCAGAACCTGAGGGATGGGTGGGAGTCAGAGGCCTGGGCCCACTCAACCGCCTCTTGTCAGACTGGGAAGGCCATGCCCACTGTAATGCATAGCCACATGGGTCCCCTGTATGGACACAGAGCCATCTTAGCACAGGAAGGACCTTGTGGTCCTGGCAGGAGGGGCCTCCAGAGGTCATCCTGTCCCTCCCCCTGCCCCCAGCAGCTCTGGAGCCAGGACGGGCTGAGTGGAGTTTGTCTGTCTCTCTGGGGGAGTCCTACACTGGCCTCTTCCTCTCCACGATGACCAGTGTCCATGGGCCCGCATGACCTGGAAGTCCCCTCTCAGGTCTGCCCTGCGTCCTGCATGCTGTAGGGCTGGGCAGGTGAATGGCTGTCTGGCCTCGAGCCTTCCCTGTGATTGGGCCCCGGCTTTCCTCCAGTCTCAGCACCGTTCCCACATCCTTTCCCTTTCCCGTCAGATACAGAGCTTTGATCCCTGCCTCCCCACTCCTGGTCTCCCTCCCACTTTCCTCCGAGTCCCCTGGGGTTGCAAGCTGCCATCCTTGTCTGTGAAGCTGGGCTGGAGACCTGGGCTGTGCCGGGGTCCCTGCCCAGAGGCCTCTCGAGAAGCTTCACCCTCTCGAGAGGGACCCGGGGCCTCTGGCCTTCTCCCTCTGCTGGATGGACTGCTGGGAGCTGACCTGCAGTGGACCCTGCATGGGTTTCTGTTCCAAGTCCTCTGTGTCTGGTGACAGGATCAGGCCTCCCGGGGGAGGTAAGCATGAGGCTACGGAAGGTGGGAGATCAGCTCCTGGCTGGGGCAGACCCTCTGGTCATCAGGGACAAGTGAGGATGACCTCATGCCTTGCTTCCACACTGCTGGAGAAGAATAGTTTGAGATTGTAAGTCTTCAGAGTGGACAAGGAGAAACGGGGCTGGAGGTGGGGGCATCTGAACCTGCAACTGGGGTGGCCCAAGTTCTAATTTGGGGTGGCCTGGGGGTGGCGATGTGCTCTGAGATGAAAACAAACCAGTGAACTGTATCCCCGTTTTCTGGATGGGATCCCAGCCCAAGTCCACCAGTGCTCCATCCCTTACTCTCAGCAAATGTGCCCAGGCCGGGGACCCCTCCCAGTCCCTCTTGGGGGTGAGGAGGCAGCTCTCCCAGTCTGTTGAGCAAAGGATATGAACAGAGTCCCCTCAGCATCCAGAGATGCTTCTAGACTGGCTCCTGGCCTCAAGGTCCCCTCACTGCCAGGTCTCGCCATCCACCTCTGGATGCTGTCCTGCCCAGCTGAGCACCCATGTCTCCGATCAACTCTACTCTGAAGGCAGTGAACATGACCAAGGCCACAGTCAGCTACCGCCAGGAGAAGACCCACATGATGAGCACCATGGACCGGAGCTTCACGGACCAGACCACCCTGCAGGAGAATGAGCGGCTGGGCCTCTCCTTCTTGGACGCCCAGGGCTACAGCCTCTGGGGGGTGAGTGCCTGCCCCTTCCTCGTGGCCCCCAGGCGCTCCTGCCCCAGACTCGTGAGCCAACAGCACAGAGTCCCCCATCAGCGGATTCTGTAACACCCCGAACCAATAGGACTAAGCATCCTGCTGGGTACCAGCACGGGCCCTGGGGATACAGAGAAGGCGCAGCTGGTGATCTGTACTGTGCACTGGAGGAGCTTGCAAAAGGCTCAACAAAGGGAAGAGGAATGCCAAGATCAAGTGTGACAACTGTCAAAGAGGAGATGCAAGGTGCTGCCGTTTGAACAAAAGGATCAGAGTGGGTTCACCTTTTACTGACTGCCCGCTGTGTGAGAGACAGAGGATCCAGGGGCTGAGAGGGACCGGGCTGCAGCCACACAGACCTGGATGTATCTGAGATGCCCCGAGCTGAGCTGTGTGGCCCGGGGCAAATCATCTACCTTCTTTGAGTATCTGCTTCAGCCTCTGTAAAATGGGGTGGATATCACAGCGCTGAGATAACTGGCACAGCGCATATAAATCCCTTGGTGCCAAGCCCATCCCAGAGGAAAAGCACAGGCATCATGTAGATGTGCTGGGCCCTGAGCTACTTGATAGGAGCTTGTCGTATATTACTCCACTAACTCTCTTTGCTTTCATGATGTAGTATTTTATTTCTATAAAAATTCTCTATAGCAAATGTGTAAATTATGAAACATCATAATAAACTGCTGTGATTCAGAGCTTGGGAAGTAGGTTTCCAAGAGAGCTGAAGCTCTCGCCAAAAACATTCCCCTACTGTCTCTCAGAGGTGACCGCTGTCCTGCATTTGGGGTTTAGCCTGTTCAGTTGTTTTGTTTTGTTTTTTTTTTTTGTAGTTTGACCACATATGTTTGTACCAGAAGCAAGGTGTCTTCTAGTTGTTCCCCTATGGACCTTTATAAAAATGCTCTCGTTAGGTTTGAATTTTTTTGTGCCTTGATTGTTTTGCCCAAGATTGTTTCTATGCATAGATGTGTGGACCTGTGGTTCATTCGTTTTGCCAAGGTATGGTATTTCATCAAATGTATAAATCACAATTTACGTATCCATCCTCTCTGTGGATAAGAGTTGTTTCTACCTTTTGTTTGGGTTGTTTTTGGTTGTTTTGTTCACCTGTTCTTCTGCACAAAGCTTCTGAGAACATTTGTATGTCTCTTGATGCACCTGCACAGTAGATTCTCTGGGGTGTATCCTAGAGGGGAATTGCTGACTTGTGGAGTGTGTATTTGTTCAACTTTACAAGGCTGTGCCAAATGTTTTTCCAGAATGACTGTGGTTGTTTCCACTCCCAGCAGTGATGTGTCAGAGTTTCCATTGCTCTCCATCCAGGCCCAAATTTGTCAGGCTTCTAAATTTTTGCCAGAATAGTAGGAGTAAAATGGTGACTCTGTGTTCATAATTTTCATTTCCCTGATTACTAATGAAACTAAACATATTTTCAAATGATTATCAGCCTCAAGTTTTCTTCTGTGAAATGCCTATTTGTGTCTTTTATCTAATTTTCTACTCTTTGTTTGCTGCTATCCTAATGATTTTTAGGAGTTCTTTATCCACTTAGGTTAATAGCCATTTATTGATTCCATGCCACAAATACTTCTCCCCATTTGAGACTTGTCTTTCCACTACTTGTAGTCTTTGAGTAGACAGAAGGTCTTTTTTATAATTTAGACAAATTTTTCTGTCTTTCTATCTTTCAGTATGCACTTTTAGTGCTTTGGTAAAGAAATCCTCTCCTACCCAAGGTCATTTAAAAGTCTCTATTTTCTTCTGAAATATTTAAAGCTTTGCATTTCACATTCAAACCTTTATCCATCTGGAATTGATTTTTGTAGTGTTCTGAGATGAAATTTGATTTTCTTTTCCGGTATAGATCATCAATTCTTGTAGCATAGATCATCCCGGGCCTATAAGGACAATTTCATCATATGTTGACTCTCCACATGCATGTGGGTCTGTCCGTGAACACTCTGTTCTCTTCCAATGTGCTAGCACTAATCAGTGTGGCTTTATAAGTTTGATATATGAAATGCAAGTTCTCTGCGTTTGTTTCTCACATGTTTCTTGACAATATTTCCCTTATTTTTTTTCCTTATGAAATTGTGTAATCAGCTTGTCAAGCTCCTTGAAATGTGCCTTGGAATTTTGATTAGAATTTTATTAAACCTGTGGAACTGTTGTCTTTAGAACATTAAGTCTTCTCATTTATGGATAGATATATCTCTTTATAGTTAGGTCTTGAACACCTTTCGATAATTTTCTCCAGAAACATTTTGAACTGTGAATTGTGATACACAGTCTCGCTTCTCTTTTATTTCCGATTGTTATTGTAAGGAGTATCTTTTAAACTAGGAGTCCTAAATGTTGCTGGTAAATAAAAATATAAATGATGTTTCTGTGTTGACCTTGTATCTCTACACTTTGTTCGAGTTTCTTGCTAATTTTGATAATTTGTCTGCATATTTATTTGGATTTACTATGAGTAGAGTCAAAACATCTTAGTTTGTTTCTTTTTTACTTATTCATTAGCCTTTCATTTCAAGTTCTTGTCTTATTGCACTGGCTCTGGTCAAGAGATTGGAACCTCCAATGCAATAGTGAGTGAAAGAGGTGATAGGAACCATCTAGTCTGTCCTCCTGATTTTAAAGAAAATTCTACATTTCAACATATGCTGTAGGCTTTTGATAGAAACATTTTATCAGATTTTAAATGTTCCCTTCTATTTCTACTTAACCAGGAATTATTTTGTTGATGCATGTTAAATTTCCCAGAGGCATATATTATTGATCTGTTATATGATAAAAATCAGGCTTACCTGGTGGTTCAGTGGTAAAGAACCTGCCTGTAATGCAGGAGACATGGGTTCAATCCCAGGGTTGGGAAGATCCCCTGGTGAAAGAAACGGCAACCTACTCCAGTATTCTTGCCTGGGAAATCCCGTGGACAGAGGAGCTTGGTGGTATACAGTCCATGGGGTAACAAAAGAGTCAGACATGACTTAGCAACTAAACAACAACAATAATGATAAAAATAATTCAGATTTTTCTAATGTTAATTGATACTTCTAATCCTGGAATAACTCAACTCAGTTATAATGTATTATTATGTTTTCAGTAACTTATTAGTATCTGGGATTCCCTGGTGACTCAGATGGCCTGCAATGCAGGAGACCCAGGATCAGTCCCTGGATCGAAAAGACACCCTGGAGAGGGGAATGGCAACCCGGTCTAGCATACTTGCCTGGAGAACCTCATGGACAGAGGAGCCTGGCAGGCTGCCGTCATGGGGTCGCAAAGAGTTGGACATGACTCAGCAACTAACACTTTAATAGGGTTTATGAATTTTACAGTTAAAATCATGAAAAGTATATGAATTTTAATCTTTCTTATAATACCCTTGTCTGATTTTTGGAATCAAGAGTATAACATTCTCATAAAATTTATTAGGAACTGCCCCCCTTTTCCCAATTTCTGAAATTTTGGAGTGGCATATTCTTGGAAAGTTTGGTGGAAGTCATCTGCAAAGCGATCCAAGCCTACCAATTTTCTTTTTGGAAAGATTTTAAACTTATAAAATAATTTATTTAAATTAACACAAGGTTATGCAGACATTCTGTTTCTTCTTAGTTACTTTCAGCAAGTTATTCTTTTCTAGGAAGATATCCATTTAATCTAAGTTTCAAATGTATCGACACACACTAATTCACTCTATTGTGTTGTTATTTTTTTCATACTCTCATTAAATCTTTCAGTAGCCTTTCACAATGGTTATTATCAACCCCTCATTTTACATGGGGGGAGAAAAAGGCTTGAGGAAAGGAAGTTACTTGCCCAGGCCACATATCCTAAGAGTGACAGAGTCAGGGTTTAGAACTCAGTATTTCTAAGTTGCAAACACAGACCATTCCTACTACGATTTGGACAGACATCTGTGGGAAGGACAGCCATCACAGCTGAGAAATAGCTGCTCCAAGCATGCATGTGGCAAGTGAGAAAGACGTGGAGAGGCCTGGCTGGGCTGAGACCAGGCTGTGTCCTCAGGGGGGTGAGAAGGAGCCTAGGGGACGAGGGTGGCAAGGGGCAACCTCGCTGTAAATCTTGGTGAGGCGTTCAGAGAAGTAGGAGACGCAGGCTTTGCTTCCAGGAGTTCCAGCATCTCGCCGGAGAGACACGACTGTCTTCCGGGAGGCGAGACCAGGCTTGTTGCCACATGGGTGGTGTGAACAATTAACGCTATCAGAGTTCTGAGAAGGGATCCAGGGTGGTCAGGAAAGACTTTCCCAGTCAATTAGGATTTGAGCTGAGATCAGCAGGATTTGACTCACAATGAGGGGTAGAGGCACTGCATGTAGGCAGGATACAGAGCACAGGCAAACATATGGTAGCCGAGAAACCCAGGGATTTAGGCTGGAAACAGCCTCAGCTCCTATATCTCCTTTCTCTATTTGCCACCCACTGCCCAGACTCGGTCTCTACCTTTTTTCCTCCCAGCAGTAGAGGCAAGGCTGTCTTCTCTGACATCTGCCCTGGCACAGGGCTCCGTGCCCAGAAGGGCCTCATGCTTGGTTTACTGCCCTCTTATCATTGTTTCGAAATGCTTCATAATTTTATCTTAGAACTTACATTTTATAAGAAAAGTTCACAGCGACAATGGAAGACATGAGTGAGCTGGGGAGATCCATGCTTAAACATGTGCCATTGACCCTTCCCTGTTTGTGTGAAGTATCCACAATGCCCCTTTGAACACGGAATTCCAGGGGACCTGCAATGAGTGAGTGGGCATTCAGCCACATGCAAGGTGGGTACAAGGTGCCCCTTCATACCCGCTAAGATGGCTATTATTTTAAAAATTAATGTTAAAAAGCAGAATAAACTGCGATGACCCAGAGGGATGGGATGGGGAGGGAGGTGGGAGAGGGGTTCAGAATGGGGAACACATGTAAATCCATGGCTGATTCATGTTAATGTATGGCAAAAACCACTACAATATTGTAAAGTAATTGGCCTCCAACTAATAAAAAATAAATGAAAAAAAAATATGATGAAAAATAAGTTGGAAAAAAAAAAGCAGAATAAAAGAAGTGTTGGTGAGGATATGGAGAAACTGGAACCCTTGCACATTACCAGTGTAAGAGTAAAATGGTGCAGACACTGCAAAATAGTATGGCAGTTCCTAAAAAAAACTAAAATGGAATTACCATGTGATCCAGAAAGTTCACTTTTGAGTTCACTCAGAAGAATAGAAAGTGGGGACTTGAACAGATGTTTGTACAAACATACCTTGCTTTATTGCACTTCACAGATGTCGCATTTTTCACAACCCTGTGTCTACCAAGTCTGTTGGCACCGTTTTTCCAACAGCATTTGCTCACTTTGTATATCTATGCCACATTTTGGTAATTCTCATGACATTTCAAGATTCTTCATTATTACTACTTTTGCAATGGTGACCATGATCAGTGATCTTTGATATTATTACTACAACTCCCCGAAGGCTCAGATGATGGTTAGCATATTTTAGCAATGAAGTATTTTTTAATTAAAGTATGTATACTTTTTAGATATAATGCCATAGCATGCTTAACAGAGTAGAGTATAGCATAAATGTAATTTTTATATGAACTGGGAAACCAAAACATTTATGTGACACATTTTATAATGATAACACTTTTTTGCCCTGATCTGGAACTGATCCTGCAATATTTCCAAGGTATGCTTGTGTATCCATGTTTATAGCAGTGTTATTTACAATAAACAAAAAGTGGGAGCAACCCGAAGGTCCATCAACAGAAGAATGAATGAGCAGAACATGATATATAATATACTGGAATATTATCCAAACTTTAAAAGGAAGGAAATTCTGACACATGCTACATTATAGATCAACCTTAAACATTATGCTAAGTGAAATAAGCCAATCACAAAAAGACAAATATTGTATGATCCCACTTCTATGAGGGTCCTGGAAGAATCAAACACATAGAGATGGAGAGTAGAATGGTAGTTTCCAAGGGCTGAGGAGAGGGGAGCCCTGGGAGTTATTGTTTAATGGGTATTGGAGTTTCAGTTTGAAAGTTGAAAGTTCTAAAGATGGATGGTGGTGATGGAGCACAACAAATGTCACTGTATTTAATGTCAATGAAGTGTACATTTCAAAATGGTTGGAAGGGTAAATTTTATGTATATTTTATCACAGTTCTTAACACCAGTACAAGGTAAGCATGTTGCATCTGTGACTAAGTGGGGGCACTGATAGCTCCAAGAAAACTACACTTTCCTTTAGGATTGACTAGAGAGACAGAACCAATAGGATATATAGACCTACAAAAGAAGATATACTACAAGAATTGGTCACACAATACTGAGGATTAGCAGTGCCATGATATGTTGTCTGCAGGCTGGAAAGCTGGTAGTATAATTTAAGCTGAGTCCAAAGGCCTAAGAACAGTAACGGGAAGAAGTAGGAACACTGCCATAAGTCCTGGAGTCCCAGTCCTGAGAACTAGGAGCCCCTATGTCCAAGGGCAGGAGAAGATGGACATCCTAGCTCAAGAAGAGAGAGAGAATTTATGCTTCCCCCACCTTCTTGTCTTATTTGAGCCCTCAGTGGATTGGATGATGCACACCCACAGTGGTGAGGGTGGCTCTTCTCTACTCAGTATACTGATTTAAATGCTAATCTCTTTCAGAAACACTCTCACAGACATATCCAGAAGTAATGCTTTACCAGCTATCTGGGCATCCTTTAGCCCAGTCAGGTTGACACATAAAATTAACCAGCACACAGTGGAACCAGAATTTGATTCAATTGCAGAAAGGTCATAGCCTTCTAAGAAACATGAATGACCAAGAAATCCTAGTACATGCCTTTTCACTTGTTACTTCCTTGCATTAGACAACAACTGATGCAGAAAATGATGATGCAGAAGAAAAGGGAAAGTGTGGGATTTATGATTCCTTTACCTTGCAGCCCTTCTTTCTCATTGATAAGCTGAATGCAGAGAGCATTGGTAGAAAGTGTGAGTAATAAATGAAAAAAGCACAGCTCAATTAGCTTTGGATAGCACTTCCACCATTCTAGTAAGAATGAAATACATGTTTATGGTGAACTACAAAATACAAATTGTGTGATTTCAAACTGTGTAAAATTGCTGAGTTAGGTGTTCCTTCAGTTTGGCTCAGTCTCTCAGTCATGTCCAACTCTCTGCAATCTGCAGCCCGCCAGGCTTCCCTGTCCATCACCAACTCCCAGAGCTTTCTCAAACTCATGTCCATCAAGTCGGTGATGCCAGCCAACCATCTCATCCTCTGTCATCCCCTTCTCCTCCCGCCTTCAATCTTCCCAGCCTCAGGGTCTTTTCCAATAAGTCAGTTGTTTGCATCAGGTGGCCAAAGTATTGAAGTTTCACCCTCAGCATCAGTCCTTCCAATAAATACTCAGGACTGATTTCCTTTAGGACGGACTGGTTGGATCTCCATGCTATCCAACGGACCCTCAAGAGTCTTCTCCAACACCACAGTTCAAAAGCATCAATTCTTTGGTACTCAGCTTTCTTTACAGTCCAACACTCATATCCATACATGACTATTGGAAAAAGTGTAGCTCTGCCTAGACTGACCTTTGTTGGCAAACTAATGTCTCTGCTTTGTAATATGCTATCTAGGTTGGTCATAGTTTTCCTTCCAAGGAGCAAGTGTCTCTTAATTTCATGGCTGCAGTCACCATCCACAATGGTTTTAGAACCCAAAAAAATAAAATCTGTCACTGTTTCCATTGTTTCCCCATCCATTTGCCATGAAGTGATGGGACCAGATGTCATGATCTTAGTTTTCTGAATGTTGAGCTTTAAGCCAACTTTTTCACTCTCCTCTTTCACTTTCATCAAGAGGCCCTTTAGTTCTTCTTTGTTTTTTGCCATAACAGTGGTGTCATCTGTGTATCTGAGGTTATTGATATTTCTCCCAGCAATCTTGATTCCAGCTTGTGCTTCATCCAGCCCAGCGTTTCTCATGATGTACTCTGCATATCAGTTACATAAGCAAGGTGACAATATACAGCTTTGACGTACTCCTTTCCCAATTTGAAACCAGTCTGTTGTTCATGTTCAGTTCTAACTATTGCTTCTTGACCTGCATATGGATTTCTCAGGAGGCAGGTCAGGTGGTCTGGTATTCCCATCTCTTTAAGAATTTTCCACAGTTTGTTGTGATCCACACAGTCAAAGGCTTTGGCATAGTCAATAAATCAGAAGTAGATGTTTTTCTGGAACTCTCTTATTAGATGTTTCCATATTTGCATTAAATTAGCTTTATACAATATAAAGATGAATAGTAAAATTTATGTTAATAATTAAATATCTTAATTTTTTCTTTACTTAGTATGATACTATATATGAAATAAAAATACCATGATGAGGCCAAAATTATTCTAATATCAAATACAGATAAAGACAATACAAAAAAGGAAAAGTATGCTAATATTTCTCATGAATATAACCACAAAAATCTTCATAATATCAGAAATCAAATCCAACAATGTTTAAAATGAATTATACCCCATAGACATTTTTCCAAAGACATACAGATGGCCATCATACACATGAAAAAAAAATGCTCTACATCACTATTCAACAGGGAAATGCAAATCAAAACCACAATGAGATATTACCTTACACCTGTCAAAAGGTAATCCTCAAAAAGAGAATAAATAACAAATATTGGAGAGGATATGGAGAAAAGGGAACACTCAAGCACTGTTTATGGGAATGTAAATCAAGTAACCACTATGGAAAACAGTATGGAGGTTCCTCAAAAAACTAAAAATAGAATTACTATATAATCGAGACCTCATGCCTCTGGGTGTTTTTCTAAAGAAAACAAAGGCACTGATTTGAAAAAAATATATGCACCCCATTATAAGATTATTGCATTACAGGTTAAGAAGTACATTATCTGAAGGTAGACTCTGATAAGCTAATGATCAGTATTGTAGATGCTAGAGCAGCCACTATAAAAATATAAGAGGTGTTTCTAATAATCAACCAACCCAAAAGAAGGAGGAAACGAGAAACAACAAAAAACAGGTATAACAAAAAGAAAACAAAAAGCAAGATGGGAAGTTTAAATCTAGCCATTTAAGTAATTCCACCAAATGTAAATACTTTAATTCAGGAAAAGGCAAAATTAGGGAAATAGAAAATGGATTAATGGTTGTCAGGGGAAAGGGAAAGAGGTTGGCTACTAAAAAGAAAACATAGGGGAAATTTTTAGAGTGATAAATGGTTCTATATATTGATTATGGTGGTGGTTGTTTCACAGCTATATGCATTTGTCAAAATTCATAAAATTGTAAAACAAAAAGGTGGAATTTTATGTATGTAAACTATGCCTCAATAAATCTGTTTTTCAAAGTTCTAATTATTCCAATACCTTAAATAAAAGAAAAAAGATTATCTCATTGTTAAGAAAAGTTAAAGAAGGTCTAAGTAAATTAAGAGATATATCATGTTCATGGGTGGGAAGATTCAGCATTATTAAGATGATAATCCTCCCAGAATATATCTACACGGTCAGTATAGTACAAATCAAAATCCCAGAAGGATTTTTGATGAAATCAACAAACTGGTTCTGAAATTCATATGAAAAGCAATAGACACAGAAAAGCCAAAACCATTTTGAAACAGAAGAATAAAGTTGGATATTATTACTATTTGATTTTAAGACTTACTCTAAGGTTACAGCAAGTGATAATAATAGGGCATTGGTGTTATAGACATAGAGGTCAACAGGCCAGAATAGGATTCAGAAATAGATCCAGACACAAATGACCAAATGATTTTTTTTATGATATTTATTGTCTGCTGGAAAAAAGAGGCATTTGTGAAACTTTAAGTTTGTCAGACAGTTTATATGACAGTGCAACTGATATTTTGACAAAGACGACATTGTAATTCAAAGAGAAAAAATATTCTTTTCAACGAATTGTGCTGAAGCAATTGGATTACCATGTCACAGAAAAAAAAGAATCTAAATCCACTTCACTCCTTTCACCACACACACAAAAATTAACTCTAAACAAATCGCAGACCTAAATATATGAGTTACAACCATAAAATATCTAGAAGAAAATGTAGGAGAAATCTTTGTGAACTAGAGTCAGGTAAATATTTCTTAAGGTAAAAACATACAAACCTTAAAAGGAAAAAAAAAAATTGGACATCATCACAATTTTTAAATATTGGTTATTTGAAAGACATACTCAAGGAAGTGAAAGCTACAAACTAGGAGATGTTGTTTAGTTGTTAAGTTGTGCAGGGCTCTTTGCGACCTCATGGACTATAGCCCCCTCCAGGCTGCTCTGTTCATGAGATTTCCCAAGCAAGAATACTGCAGTGGGTTGCCATTTTCTTTTCCAGAGGATCTTCCTGACCCAAGGATCAAACCCAAGTCTCCTGCTTGGCAGGTGGATTCTTTACCACTGTGCTGCCTGGGGAGCACACACAGACTAGGAGAAGTTATTTCCAAATCAAGTATCTGATAAAACACATAAAATTCTTGCATATTATATAAAAACTCATACATAAAATTCCTTCTACTCAATAATTAGAAAATAAACATCAATTAGCAGTGGACAAAAGTTTTGAATAGACACATCGCTGAAAAAGACATACAGATGTCAAATAAGCACCTGAATAATCCTTAACATTATTAGTCATTTAGAAAATGCAAATTATAACCACAATGAGACAGCATTACATACATACTAGAACTGCCAAAATGCAGGAGACTACAATACCAAGGAGAAGATGCAGGACCATCAGAAATCTTATACATTCCTCATAGATATGCAAAACGGGACAGTTGCTTTGAAAAACAGTGCGGCAGCTTCTTATATAGCTAAGCACACATTTTCCATGCAACCCAGTAATTCTGCTCCTAGGCATTTACCAAGGGGAAAAAAAAATGTATCTACACACAGACTTGTACGTGAATTTCATAACAGCTCTATTCATAGCAGTCATAGACCCGACAAATGAATAAACAAAACATGGTATAACCATACAACAGAATGCCAGCCAGCCATAAAAAGGAATCAACTGTGCTGATACTCAGAACTCACAGACGAATCTCTAAAGCATCATGCTAAGTGCAAAAGACCAGACACAAAAGGCTATGTACATTTATATGTTATTCTGGAGGAAGAAAACTATAGAGACAGAAATCAGGCCAGTGATTTCCTACGGCTGAAGATGAGAGGAGAAGATAGACTTCAAAGGGAGATGAAGGACTTTCATAGGATGATGAAACTATTCTATATCTTGATTGAGGTGGTGGTTATAGGACTGTATACATTTGGCAGAATTCATTAAACCATGTAGTTTAAAAGGGTGATTTTTACTTTATGCAAATTATACTTCAGTAAAACTGATTGCCCCAAAAACAATTTGGTTGAAAGAACTTCCAATTCTATTAGGAAATTATTCTATTCATTTCTGGCCAAACCCTCCCCCATCTGGCTGACCTCCAAGCCTGCCTTGACGGCTCACGCCTGCATCACAGACACGGGTCAGGCAAGAGTGCAGGGAGGGTCTGGTCAGATCTGTCCCCACGTAGGAAACCTCTGAGTGTGCAGGTCGTCCTGGCGGTGCTGAGTGTGCCCTGGGCCCGCATCCTAAGTGGGCTGGACAGGGTGACGGGGGCCATGACCTCTGCAGAGAAGTTGGAGGAACCTGGAAAGAGGGGGAGGGGTGCACAGCCCTTGTCCCTCCCAGTCAATGTCCTTCCAGCTCGGGAAGAAAATCCCCACCCCAGCTCCGCAGAGCTCAGCGTCTGGGTGCAGGCCCGGGGGCGCCTGTCTGCTAGTCAGCACCAGCTGGCACCCAGAGCCGCCACCTGTCAGCCAGGAGAGTGGGCACGCCTGGGGCTCCAGGCACACGCGTGCACCTGGGCACCTCCCTGCTGCCTGCTCTGCTCGCTGACCTCCCCTCCCAGGCCGCCCCATCAGGGACGTGTTCCAAGTGGGACCCT